CGAAGGTTCCTGTTGATGATCATTCAGATAAGCGCAGGAATGACGATCAGCTACATGGCCGCGGGCTTGGCCGTGTGCCCATGGGTCGGACAACGCACGGTGCTCCCTGTGTCACTCGAAGTGCGTGTCAGGTGAGTGAGTTCATGGTCGACAAAAATGCGCCGATGGAAGCGAGATTTGCTGTTTTTCGCTACTACGGAAGCTTCTCGGCAACCCTTCTGACGATGTTCGAGGTGCGCCGCGGCTTGGGTCCTTTTGGGTGGTTCTTCTTCTGTCGATTTGTTCGCGTGCTTTTGTTGTGGGGTCGATCAGACTCAGGTGCGGGAGACTGATTCGTTTGGCTGTGCAAGGTATGGCTTTGCAGAGCAACAACCTCTCCGGGGCGGGACTCTCTCTAGGTCGCTCCTCTCTTTGACGAAGAGGTTGTCTTCGTGCGTGGCCTCGGGGCAAAACTAGGCGTGAGTCTGAACTCGTGGATCTCCTTGTGAGAAGCCGAGACAGCCAACAGACATCATACAGTCAGGAGTCTTCGTCTGCATGGTACAACTTCCTTCTTGCGCTTGATGAGTAAGAGCATGCGGTCCCCTGGTCTTTTCGGCCACACTCCAGAGTCAGGGTGGGGCCTTTGACCCCGTACTCTTTTCCTGTCGGCTACACTCCAGAACCAGCGTGGAGCCATTGACCTTATCAGCGCATGATAGGCACAAGGATATGCTTGGGACGTTTCCCTTCGTCACACTCCAGAGTAAGGGTATGACGAGAACATCCACGTGTGATAGGTACAGAGTCAGGGTATGGCGAGAAAATCCGTTTGCGCATGACAGGTACTCTTTGCAAACTGGGCACCACCATGTCGGATCCTGATCGATCACGTGAGCGAGTGGTATGCCTTGGTGTTCATCATCTACCGTTGCTTTGTTGGATTTGCTGTGCTCCTCGGCTGTGCAGTCAAATACATTCAGATAGACTTGTGAATGCGATTCTGGCTCCCCTGAGTATGAGGCTGAACGTCGTGAATGCAGTCTTTGTCCAAAGCACCATGAAGGCCAGCAGATCAGCAGCCAAGCAATTGTGGATGCCGTTCAGCCTGAGAGGATCGGAAGGTTGGTTACAAATCCGAGTCATCTGAGGTTGCTGCAGCAGACGAAGAGGTCATGGCCAGGGAAAAGAGGAAGGCTGAGCTGGCCTTCCAGCGCAAAGTCTCGGCATTGTTTAGGGCGGCCGACATATCTGGCGACGGCAAGATCGACATGAAAGAGTTCAAGAGGCTTCTCAAAGCACCGAAGCTCCAGTCGTTGCCTCGGAGCTTGAGATGTTAAGAACTGCCCTTCGAAAGATCCCTGCAAGAATTTTGACCATCCCGAGGCTGTGGTTGAGCCAGTTGGAAATTGAGACCACGGATTTGTGGGGCCTCTTCCAGATGCTGGACACAGGCCGCGACTCAAGCCCTGGGCGCCATTCTCTGTGAGAAGTCGTTTGTCGGCCAGGCGATGGAGAGATTTCCTTGGAGGAGTTTGAAGCTGGCACCATGCGAATCAAGGGAATGGCGCGCAGCTTCGATCTGGCCCAAGTGCACCGGTTGGTGGAGAGGCTAAGCCTGAGGATTGATGAGATTGCCAGGCAGGCATGCGAAAGTGTTGCTTGTCGTGTTTTGCTGAGAGCACGAGGATCACCAATAATCATCAATTTGTCAGCTTCCGCCGTGTGCCGCCGACCCCGAAAGCCGGAAGCTGACTACGGAGGCAGCAGGTGTTGAAAGTCAAATCTGACACGGGGAGCTAGTGACAAGAAGCAACAAGACAAGGCATCCATGCAATATTGTCGCTACTGCCGATTAGTGATCCGGTGAATTATTCGGAATGACGCAGTGCTCAGCCTCTGGACGTTGCATCGGCATCTGGACGTTGCATCTGCATGTTTTAGCAACCTTGTTACTCAGCCATGTGCATAGGTGCCGCGGTCTGGGGGGGTGTACGGTGAGGCGGTGAGAATGATGCAGTGGGGGCGGTGGGGTGCCGGTGACGGCAGTGGAGCGAGTGGCGTGAGTGCAATAGCACACTACTCTTTCTGGGTGGTGGGGGCGGTGAAAGCGCACACTAGTCTTTCTAGGCAGGTGTACGGTGAAGCGGTGAGAATGATGACAGCAGTGGGGGCGGAGGGCGGTGGGAGCGGTGAGGGCGGTGGGGGGAGTGAGGGCGCGTGGCGCAGGTGGTCATGCTGGAGCAGCAATAGAACACTATTCTTTTCCTTTAAAAACAGGAAAGGCAAGTAAGGGGGTGTTCGGTGAGGGCAGTGAAGCCGGTGGCGTGAGTGGTACAAGGGGTGGGGGGGGTGTGTAGACTGACGCGGTGAGGCGATAAGAGTGGGGGTGGGGGTGGCAAGGTGGGGGGCTGGGGGTGGGGTTGGAGGGGTGGCGCGGTGGTCTGGGACAACAAAAATAGAAAGCGGGGGTGGAGCAGGAGGAGACAGGGATGCCGGATGGGGGCCTCGAGGGGGGGAGAAGGAGCCCTCCCAACGCCGACCAGACCAGGGGTCGGCGGACAACAACAACAACAATTCTCCAGGCAGCTGCCGCCGGCGCCCCGTTGAAGACGGAGCGAGGTGGCTTGTAGAACTGACCGAGAGCTTCATTCTGCGTAGGACTTAGACTTAGGTTTGACAAAAACTTGTGAGATTTCCCTCGCGTGTTGCAAAAAACCTGCTTGTGGAAGACGTCATGCACGATAGCGGGACTTAGAAGTAGTCGACTGAGAGGAAGGGCTCAAGCCAGCCATGCAGCCTCCGCGACCGGGGCCTGGCAGCGTCGTTCCACCCGCACCACTCCCATGCCCTCTTCGCCGTGGACCTGCTCCGCCCGGACCACCGGGACTGTCGGGAGCGCCGGGAGCACCCCCACCGCCGGGCCTGCCGGGACCGCCTCGGCCGTCTTCAGCACCAGCTCCAGCGGCCCCTCCGCCGGGAGCACCGGCCCTGCAGCGGGGCATTTCATCTGTGAGCCCTGACACCTTGCGTGCAGAGGGAGAGGTCCTCCAGCAGCGGATCAATGAAGTCCTGGCTGCACGAAGCCGCGGCGGCAGGTCGGACTTGGAAGAAAGAGTGCGGAATGAGCAGCTCCAAAAGAAGGAGGAGCTGGTCGCTAGTCTGCAGCAACAACTGCAGGCCGAAACAGACAGGCAAGAGCAGGAGACGCTTGGATATCGAGCCCAGATTCAAGACTACGAGTCGCAGAGAGCGGCACTCAAGCTTCAGATCCAGCAGGCCAAGGCTAACTTCGAGACTTCTGACACGGGGAAGCTGCAAGAGGAGGTCATCCGTGCAGAGGAGAGGTCCCGGCAGCTGGAGGCGCAGCTAAGGCGGCTGGAGGCCAACTCTTTCCTTTCCAAGGTCGATGACAGACGGGAGGCCAACATGCGCATCTCTGCACTGGAAGAGATGCTTCGGGTGAGAGTGGCAGAACATCAGACACTGGTGGATGAAAATGTAGCTCTTGAGCAGGGGCGTGTCGCTGGCATCCAAGCAAAGCAGCGGCTTCAGTCAAAATGTTTGGATTTGAAGCAGCGGAATGAGCAGCTACAGGTCGAGATCGAGTCACAGACTGCAGAGATGCAGAAGGTGGAGCGTGAGATGCAGCTGATGCGTGAGCGGCTGCCGCCCGGCAATCAGGAGGCTCTGGAGGCAGCGCTGTCGCAAATGGTCGGGGGAGGTGCCGCTTTTGCGAGGCTCGAGCGTTTTGCTGACGCGGTACCCTCGAAGAGCGATCTGATCGCAGCGGAGTCCATGGAGTCCGTTGTGGAGAGATTGGGCCGAGAGCGGGAGGAGCTCCGGAGACACATCTTTTTGCTGCGCGAGGAGCTCGAGCGGGAAGCTGCCATCTCGCAGAACCTCAAAAACCTTCAGGCACAAGAGCTTGAGGAGGCCCGGAGCAAGTCGAAGACCTTGCTTCGGGATCAGGAGAAGTTGGCAAGGATTGCAGCAGCACACTTGCAAAGCATTCGGGATCTGCAGCGTCGTATTGCCGGCTTTGAGGATATTGCCCTTCCCGGCCAAAGGCCGGATGATGCTCTGAGTGTGTCGGGCTTCTCGGATGTATCAGACTTGGAGGACTGTGACAATGCTCTGGATGTCTTTGTGGGCATTGGTGCCATGGACGTCTCGGCGGCTCAGCGATTGCAGGAAACCCTGCAAACTGCCGCCACTGGGGCACCGCCACCACCATCGGGGATGCCTACGGCGGAAGAGCTCCGAACCCTTGTTAGCGTTGAGTTCCTGGGCTTCGATACTGGCTTCTCAGCGGTGGCTGCAGGCTTGCAGCCTGTTTACGATTCTTTGGTAACCTTCGGTCCCTTCAATGTCACGGATGATGTTCTGGAGGACCTTTCCACGGCAAAGCTTGGGGTTGAGATCCATGGGGCGTTGCCAGGCACAAGCCAGCAACTCGTGCTTGGGCGTGGTGAATTACCAATGTCTGGGCTTCTCCAGTATGGAATGCAAGCAACTCGAAATCCTGTTGCGGGTGGCGTCGTTGCCCTGAAAGATGTTTCCGATCCGGACATCGTTGTGGCACAGCTGCGTGTTAAGATGCGAATGCGCTACTCCATGGAAGAACTGGCAGAAGACTTCAAGACTAAAGCCAAAATTCGACAAATGGACCGGGGCAGGGGAAGGCTTTTTGGCAAAAAGTAAGGTGAGCAAGTGCTACCATGAATTGTCCATGTTGGCATGTCACATGTCCAGACTGCTTCACGTCATGCAGCTATGGCTGTGATCCGAGCTTCGCAAAAGGTAGCCCATGGCATGCTGTTGTTGAGATGCACGTTCTCCCCGTCGCCATGGACAGAAGTAGGGTACGGCCTGGCCAGCTGAGGCTTTGAGGATGCCCCATCTGCACTTGGTGTGTCCGTGATAGGTCGGGACCTCTTGCGGTGCCATCCCGACGCCTCGCTGGTTGAAGGCGTCATGAGGGGTGTCCAAGCTCTGAAGCCACCGACCCGGTCGACGCCATGACCGACTTTTCGAGAAGCAGGCATGCGACGCGGGTCCTTACGAAGTTGCGCCTGGGGCGCTGGAGAAAAGTTCAGGAGGTCTTTGAGGAAATGCTGCTCTCGCAGACGGAAGTCAATGTGATCCACTGCAGTGCTGCGATCTCAGCGTTGTCTGCGCAATGGCCCTTGGCATTATTTTTCCTCGAGCTGGCCGGAGCCCTTGCATCGGCCCAGGGCGATGTTGACAGCGTCAGCTTTAATGCCATGCTGGGTGTGTATGCCAAGAACTCGATGTGGCAGGCGGCCCTGGTGGCCCTGGACTTGTGCAAGGAACAAAATGTTGACGTCGACGTCGTCGGATTCAGCGCAGCCATGCGTGCATCTGAGCAGGCTAGCTGCTGGATCGTTGCACTGGCAATCCTCGAAGAGATGTTCGCTTGTATGACGAGACCCAACGCAGTCACCTACGGCACGCTCGTCAGTGCCTGTGGCAAGGCCGCAGAGTGGGCTGCAGCCTTTGCATGCTTGGACATACCACGCATGCGATCTTGGGAGCCCGGGCCCAACCTCATCACCTTGAATGCGGCGATTACGTCTTGTGACAGAGGCTTGCAGTGGCAAGCGGCCTTGGACTTGACATCATGGCTTGGCAGCCACTCTGCCAAGCCAGATGATGTTACCTTGCGAGCTTCCATGAGTGCATGCCAGAAGGCAGGGATGTAAACGAGGATCATCGGGGTATCGACCTTAATTTTTAGCAGGACTGGTCTCAACCTGAATGCCTGCCATGGCTTGCAGGTTGGTCGATGGTCCCACATCCTTTCCTTGCGACAGCGAGGAGTTGAAGAAGGTTTGAAACTTGGGGAGATTGGCTGTCGCTCGGCCATCGATGCTTGCAGCGCCCGTGCGTGGCGATTGGCCTTGGGGCTCTTTGCTGGCTCGCTCGCCGCGAGGCTTCATGGGCTCCATGCGTCTGGTGCTTCCGGACTAGAGCACTCAGTGCACTTGGGTACATCCATGGCATTGAGTGCCCTTATCTCGGACCAGTTGCCATGGCGGACGGTTGTGGACTTGCTGCAAAGTTTGTGCCGCAGTGCCGTCCGGCTGAACGACGTCTGTGTCAACTCGGGCGTGAGCACCTATGCACCTCACCGTTGGGACGTGGCCTTGCAAGTGGTCCGAGAGCAGAAGTTCAACAGTTTCAATTGGAATGCTGTTATTGCGGCATGCCAGAGAGCCAGCCAGTGGCAGCGCGGCTGCTGGATGCTTCTTGTGCCCGGGATTGATGTGGTCGGCTTCAACGCAGCCTTGCAAGATTTGGAGAAGTGGCGGCACGCCCTATGCATCTTCGGTGAGCTGTCCCTGCGCAGCCTTCAGAAAACCGCCATCAGAATCTCGGCGGCCTCTAGCAAGCTATGGTTGGAAAGGACTCCGGCAACATGATTTGACAATTTAGGTGTCAATTCCTTGGTGGCTACTTGTGAGACGGCCCGGCAGTGGGCTCTGGCGCTGCTTGCTCTGAGCCTGCGAGAGAGCATGGAGGTGACAGCCGTGTCATGCAATGCTGCCCTCAGTGCCTGCGAAAAGCACCCACGCAGCAGCTGGTTGCCTGCGACAGTTAAGGGAGTGGGCTGCCGACGGTGCTGTGTGAGCAGCCAAGGAGCAGCTTTTGGGAACACTCCTTGCTGTTGCTCTCGAGTTCGCAGGCTCTCAAAGTCCGTGTTTGGGACAAAATGTCCCGGTTGCACGTGATGATGTGTGCGATTTCGTGTCGTGTACCGATCGGGTGACGATAGATGATGCCGCGATGATGTGGTGCAAACGAAGAGCTTAGCGGCAGTGGAGGGCTGGGATCTGCAGGTACTGGATATAGAATGTGCGATCACGCCCTCAAGCGCCTTCGAGCCTGATTCTACCTGCCACTCTCTGAAATGATGTGGGACTTTTAGAGCTCTCTCTCGGAGGCCTGGCTGTCCCCAGACGTTTTCAGCTTCAGCGGTGCGATCAGTGCCTGCGAGAAGGCTTTGGCAGTGAAGCGTTCGGAAGTGTTGTCCCCGATTAGTTTCGAAGGCATCAACTTGGCAGACGGCGCTCCGCCTCCTGGCCGGCAGCGCCCACTGTCGTGTGCGCGGCAATGTGATCTGCGCCAATGCAGCGACCAGTGCTTGTGTCGCTCAAGCAGCAAATTCTATGAATCATCACCATCAGCACATCAAATGATTTTATAACATCACGTCACGCTGAGGAAGGAGCGGGGCAATGGCGGTTGGCTCTTCTGAGCTTTTGTTGTCTTCGGCATCAAGCCTTCGAGCCGGACCTTCTAAGCGCGGTCCTAAGTCTTCGGCCGCAGCGGCCGTTGCAGGTGTCGCTTCCGTGCCGGCCGCTGCTCAGTGCTCCTCTAAGGCCACAGTGCAGCCATGAGCGCCATGGAAAAGGCAGGTAGATGGCAGCTGCCGACCTTGATCCTGCGGGTGACTAGGCACGAAGAGGTTTTTGACATCTTGCGACTCGCTGCCGGAAGTGTACCGAAGGAGATGCCCTGTCGCGGCGTGTACCCTGAATGCAAGAGAGTGATTCTTCTTGAAGACAGCGCCCGGTGTGCTATTTTTCTTGTGCATGCCAGACGTCGGCCACCCATCTCAGGCAAGCAGACGTCATATGTTGTCAAGTGGCTTGGAATGGAGGTCTTGAGTCTTACGTTATGCTACTAGCTATTATGTCCAGATATGCAGCATGCCAGCCTCGCAGCTACACCGGTGCGAGACGGCAAAAAGTAACATGGCAGATGCACGCAGATTCAGGTCGCCATCAGTGCCTGCGAGACAGCGGAAGTTTCGCGGAGCAGGCGACTGTATGCGTGACTGCACTTGGACAAGAGAGGCCCCCGGGTCCCCTGGCCGCCATGGCCCTGGACTTGGGCAGAGCGCGGCATTTTTGGCGCTCGCGAACCAGTGAAGCCCAGAACGACCTGGACTGTCTGGACAAGGAATGCTTCCTACACTCGGAGCAGATCTGCTAACAGGTTTGAGTCGGTGCTCCTTCAGTACCCCGTCGCGCGCAAGAGGAAGTCGGCGGCCAGACCAGGCCGGTGTTAATCACGAAGGTCGCCCGATTGCCATGCTTTGCGACATGCCTTGGCTGCACAAGACGCGGGTCCAAGTCGCATGGAGTGGCAGGAAAGCAGCGGGCTTCTGGGAGGGGGAGGGCTTGCTGATTTTGTTTCCGCAGCGTGGGTTTTCTTGTCACCTCCTCCGTCCGTGGCCCAGAGCGTGGGATCTTTGAACGTCAAGATTCCGAATATGAGCAAGATGTGAAAGTCGCATCATGTCGCACAACTTGAACTCCCTTCCCGAGCCGCGCTGCTCATGCCGATGCGCGCGTCCGGGGCTGTGCGGCCGGTACACGCGAGCAGCTCGCGGCAATTCTTAAGTGTTGAAGACTTTGAAGCTGCCTGGGTAACATGACGGTAATTAAGCATCGCAAATGCATGGCAAGCAATTGGTTGTGTGTAATTCAGTGTAATTACTGTACGATGCCAGCCACGCCCTTGCGGTCGAAGGCGGCTGCTGTTTCAAGTCTAAGTAAGGTTTCTTCGGGCTGGTGCTCCTGCTGCCCCTCGTGGTAGCGCTCAGAGAGGCAACACAGGTGAGAGTTCCGAGTCTTGAGTCGTTTGTAGCCGTGGGTCGCAGGAATTCATAGCGAACCCTCTTCGTGGCCGCTATGCCCGAAGCGCGTTTGCAGGACAGCGGAGGCCTCACCACAACAAACGAGATCAGGCAACGTGGCGTCGTGCGGAGTGGGGAGCGTCTCCGAGGCCTGAGCAGAGACGGCCTCTTCGGTCCCTCCGCAGGGCTCTGGGAAGAGGCAGCTGTGCTCGTTGGTGGTGGTTCGGTGGTGCTGGAGATGAGAGCGAAGAGGAAATCATGGATACTCGGCGGCACTGAGCTACAGCCACTGACAGCCTTCAGAGTCACCATTTTTGCACTCGGATGTGCGCGAGGTCTTTGTGCCGATTCCTGCTGATGCCGCAGTCGACGACGTTGTCGTGAATATCAGGCTTGTGTACAGTCATGCGACGGGGGTGCTCTCTCTATTTATGGCATGCACAGGAGAGATGTAATGTATGGGTTGGGACGGTGACAGCTGTTCGATTGCCTGCTGGCGGTCCGAGCGTGAGAGCTAGCTAGTCCTTGAACAAGACCCCGAAGCAATCGATAAACAAGTTTAGGACACTCTAGAATCTAAACTCTAGATGTGATGCGTGGACCAGCAAACCAAACCAGCTTGTTCCCCAAGGCAACGCGGTGAACATTATGCCACACATGGAGAAAGCGCACGCAAGCTTGCGCCAGGCAGACATCCTTGACAATCGGCATCAGAGGTGAGAAGCCCGTGCTGGACGGTCCTTTGTGGAAGGGCATCAAGGCTGGTAGTCTCCGGTACTGTTGCGGACTGACGCTATAGGCATTCCGCTTTTGGACACCAAAAGCCCAAAGAGGAGGTAAGCAACGGACCGCATGTGTGCGACATCGAGCAAGGCAGACGAGTCTGGATGGGTTATTGATCAAGAACGTGGACAGCGCTGCATCATCGCGACGCTGATTAAGAGAGACGCGTGGGACCCAGCATTCTGTTCTGCATGAACTCTTGGGAGCCGCCACATGGACGCTTAGTTGAGGTGTGGATTGTCGCTTTGTTGCACCTTTGACTGCGGACACGTGATCGGGTGTGGAGATGCGGATGGACCCTGTTGGCTGCTTTGCTGGGCATGTCTGTCTTGTTTCGTGGGGCTGCCAAGGACTATGACTATCTTCTGAAGTCTCACGCTGAGGCAGCAGGGGATTCGAGCGGAGAAGACAAAAAGATCTGATGCAGTTTACCACCATGCGGTGCTCTGGAGGCAATGCTAGGGAAGCCTGAGCTGACACATGCCTGGACCTTCCAGGGCTCAGAATTGTACAGATCCAAATTCAAACCCAGCCCTGCAGTCCGCGGTTCATTCTTGCACCACGGCTAGTTTCAGAAGTCTACATGACATTGGAGAGAGTTCCACGGTCAAGTTTGTGCCAGCTGCGCATGAAAGGCAAGATGTCCCGTGGAAGCAACCACTGAACCTACTCGAGACCTTGAGCGTTGCAGGTGCGATTCGTGTGAGGGAAGACAGCCGCACGAAGTGCTTCTGTCAAGTTGTCGCGGCTTGAGGCATGCAGTGGGATCGGATTTGATGAAGATCTGGCTGCTATCGTCACTGACGGTGGCTGACACCGTTTTGACGGTGTGCTAGGCGGGGGCAGGCATGTGTCCTGGATTTCAGGCGGCGTCGGCAGTGGCGTCCTGCCTCCGACAGACGGGTGCGCAGCTGTGCCAACACCTACACGTGGCCAGCACGTTCATGTGTGTCGCTGTCGAGGCCCGCTGCTGGTGCAAGCTGCAGCCTCACGGGGGCTTGTTCTTGGCAGCCAGGAAAGGTATCATGGCAATGCGCGCAGTAATCGAGGTGGCCGTGAGAAACTTCACTGATGTACCACACACCGGACTCGATGCTGCAAGCCTCACAGGCCAGCCCAATTCAACTCACACAGCTCTTAGAAGCCGCAGCAACCCTTGAGGTTTTCCGGGCTCCAGGCTTGAGGCGATCCAACCAGCACCGCTGGCCTTCGACGATCGTGGTCGAGTGTCAACGTTGCCCTGCCTCCGGGTGATGGAGCTGAACCAGTCTTTTGATATGAATGCCCGGTGTCCCCCCGAGTGTCCTTACAGTTCTTTAGCACCAGATCTGGGCTTCTGCAGTGCTGCATGTGTGCGCCCCTCAAGCTGTGCTGCTTTCAATCCGGACGCACCGGTGGAAGATGCCAGCCGGGGCATTTGCCGCGGTGCCCAAGTGGACGGCCTTGAGCTCAGTTCGTGGCTAATCACCGTTCTTGGGAGTTGCTGTGCGGCTCCCAAGGTTGCTTTCAGCCCAGCTTGGATGGCACAGACAGATGCATCACCTGCGGAGCTTGGTATGACCTCAGCCCTGACGGGCAGTGCAGAGCTCGCTACATGTGGGCCGCCTGGACTGGCTTGTGTCTAGTTGGTGCCCTAGCCTGTGTTTTGGTCGCTTATGTGGTGGATCTTAACCTGCGTGCCAGCGTGAACCCTTCGGGCTTGGCATGTGGCCTTGCCAGCAGATCAATACAGAAGTACCGCTCCGGCCCTCAACGAGACTTGTGGCCCTTGACCACGAACCTTTGTACGACACCTGTTGGGGGTCCTGGCCTGCTGCTCTACTTCAACTTCCTAGCAGCAGCTGCTTGGTCGCAGGCAGGGGAAGTTGAGGCTGGCTTGGTGCCCCTTTCTCTTGGGATGCTCCGAACTGCCAGCGCGCATGCTTCCAAGCGCAGCTAGCTACGTGGTTTTCAGACTCGGTCAGAACAGCAGCTGCTGCTTTAACACCTCAGTCAGGTGATCGTTTGGTCTGCAGCTATTGGGTTTGGATGGCTGATCATGGCATATGTCGCAGCTCAGAATTTTTGAAGTTGTGCGTACCAGCTGCTGACTACTTCGTTTCCTGGAGAGCGGACCCGAACGGGCCAGCACTTTACCCTAGGTAGACGCAGACTTGTTGATATTGGGACGGAAGGAGTACGGCACCCCGTACAGGAGAGCGGCTGCGCGTTGTTTCTTTCTCCTCCACGGAAAGACGGGGGTGCAGGAACTGTGTTTTGGTTGCCTGGGGCTTTGCGACGCAGCAGAGGTCCCGGAGCTGTAGCTGGAGCCGACAAGCATTTGCTGCTTCAAGTGCCCTTTCTCGTTTGAAGACAAAGCGCCCAACTCGCAAGCTGGCTGGGCAGGCTGATGTGGGCTAAACTGAGCTTCTTGCTTGGTGTTTACATCGTCGCTTGGATTTGCAGTTGGGTGCACATCCTGTGCAGACAAGTCCAAGTATATGTTGTGGTCAGAGGTGACCTTCTTGGCTTGCTTGTTGCACGGAGTTCGCCAGCGGTGCTTGTTCCAGCAGAGCGATGTGTCTGGCCCGATTTTTCGTCGACACATGTCAGATGATCCAAGACTTGTCGCTTCATCCGGCACTCTTGCTGAGGTGAAGGACACAATGAAGGTTGGCCTGCAGAGGGCATGACAGCATTACAGGTCTTTCAGTGTACTCTTCCTCTTTCTTACCCATGTTCTCTACACAGCAGGCGTTCGCAGTCCTGGTGAAAGGCTTGCCGGAGATCCGTGCATCAGAGGCGGGGTGAGTTCAGGGCTTGCGACATCTCTGTTAGCCGGGCTGGCGGTCTGCTTTCAGGCCCAAGTTGAAGCTGAACTATCTGACTTGGTCAGTTCTTTGGCCGGCCACTAGCCGGCATCCAGGCATTCCACTTGTGAAGTGGTGCAAGTACAACGGCAAAGGACAGCCAGTGGTGGGAGTTTCAGAGCCTTGTCTATATATATATATATATATATGAGAACAAAACTTGCAAGGCTTGTTCAGCCGGGAAGTGCTTGGCAGCAGCAGATGCTTTCACCCATCGCAGCTAGAACTTGGCTTACAAAACGAGGGTTGTGTCCATGGTACAAAGCCGCCATAGCCAAAGAGATACTTGACTAGCTTGGGAGCGCAGATCTTTATAGCAGCCGAAGTTCAGCCAAGCACATGTGTGTGAAGGGGGTGGAGTGAGCGGCAGGCAATTCCGCCTTCCGTTCGGTGTGCTGGGGGAGCCGCAAAACTCACCTAGCCGGCCTGGGTTTACGCAATGCGGCGATGGCTCTCTCTTGGCCCCGGTGTTGCAGAACACACACCTTGGAAGTGCGTGCTCTGCAGAGCTCCAGCCCGCTGTCGCAGCCAGCGTTGCCGGTCTCAATCTCCCCGAGTTCTCCGAGTGCTGCCCCTTTGTCTCTGGATGAGCTGGAGGAGCTTGCCCAACTGCATGCAGCATCCGATGGCGATGCCTGGCTGATGTTGGTGGGCGGCGAGCACGGAGGCAGGATGCGACCTGACTATGAAGGCACGCGCCCTGGTCCGTACCTTGCTGGACACTGCTCGCTTCAATGGGTAGGGCAAGTGTATTCCAGATTGCTGCCTTTTTTTGGGAAAGATCGTGTAGTGGTAATTGCCCAGCTGCAAGAGACGCTGCGGTGGCTGGCAGAAGCCAGCCGCAACGCAGAAACAGCAGAAAAGCTTGCGGGACGGTCATCGCTTTTGCCCATGCTGCAACAGCAGCTTATCGAAACCACAGAGTCTTGCCGGGAACTCTTGTCCAATGGTGGTGCTGACTACGATGGCCCAGACGTCAACCCGGCAACCGTCTTGCGTGTGTTGAGAGGCGATGTTGGGGATGCCTCCATGCCTGTTGTGCCCAAGCGCGGAGTGAAGTCTCTGCTGCTCATTCTGATTAGCCACGGTCACGCTCACCCCGCGGGACCGGATACAAAGCACCACGAATGGTACATGCACCTACCGTACCCAGTTCCTGATAGCGAGGCCTCGCTGTACGACGTGGTTTCTCATGAGGGCTTCCGGGACGTGGATCCTCATCCAGACTGGGACTGGGGAGCTCCGAAACACCGCTGGCGCTTGTATTCTCAGATGCTGTTCCAAGCCTATCATGCCGTCCTGGAGCAGTCGCCGCAAAGACGGCTTGTGGTCTTCCACCAGTTCTGCTTGTCGGGGGGTGCTGTGGAGTTCATGCGTCGTCCGAGCTACCGCCGCTATTTCGGAACCCGCTTCTGGCCTGTCTTCTGCGTATTTACCGCAGGATGCTTTGAGCCGGCCTTGGGGAGTTTCGTGGGGATCTGGAGCGAGGAGCTGCAGCGAGCGTTGCAGTCCGGAGGCTTTCAGAGCTTGCAGGAGCTTCAAAGCTTTGCAGAGAAGCGGTATTGGGAGGACAACTCGGGTCTCAAGAAGGAGAACGACCGTATACTTGCCTTGCGTGAGGACGGAAGCGACCATCTTGATGCAGTTGACGGCACTGTGGGCTCTGTGGGTTGTGAATCGGGGTTTGACGGCAAGTCTGGACAAGACATGGCGGCGTTGTCCATCTCTGAGCTGGTGAACTTTCTGAGCTGAGGCGATGGCCTTGTACAAAGATTCCAGGGCTTGATCCCTCTGTGATGTGTCATCGTCTCTCCGTCTCGTTCAGGACGTTCAGGATGAGGCTAAGTTCCAATGGCGCCAGACGCAAGACTCGCAAATTTGCCGCTTTGTAGACGCAGGGGTGCTTCGTGGTCTTGCCATTGCTGTAGCATGAGTCTTGCTCCTTTCTGGCTACTGTTCTGCAGCCTTTGCGATTGAATCAAGGTGTGCTGGAACTTCAGCAGCCAACAGGCGCAGCGCGTGCCTGGAGTGTCAGGCTTAGCCAACCCGCCGTCGGAGTTCAGGAGCAGGTGAAAGCTTTGCTGGACAAGAACCTTCCAAGCCCAGCGACAGCGACAGCGAGCCCGAGCCTGGAGATGGAGAGTGGAGCCGCGCCTGCAAGAGGAACTGTATGCTTCGAGACCCCAAGTCATTGTCTGGGCGCTTGCGACTCGGCGGTGAGATGGCCCGGAAATGGGCCCCTCCGCCCTCTTGTTCTTATCATTCTTATCTGTTTGAAAACTGCTTTGGCGATCCGGAGCACCCGAACCGTTTCAAGCAGAGCAGCTACGACATGCAAACATGCTGAAGATGGCTCTCTGAATACCTCGGTTGCCACTGACGAAGGCTGAGATGTCCGTGGCAGTAACGGTGATGGTAATGATGATGAGTGGTCATGGTGGTAGTAGCACGGTGGTGGTGGTGGTGCTGCTGCTGCTACTGCTGCTGCTGTGCGGCTCCTGCTGCCGCTGCTGCTTAATCGGGTGCCTGCTCATGAAGCTGTTGGGGGTGGTTGTCTTTGTTGCAGCGGGCAGGATCATCCGTTTTGGCCGTATTCCTCTCTCCCTGTTCACCGTGTCTTGTCGTTTGTTTTGTTTCTGTAGATTTGTTCGTATTGTTCTTATCCACGCTAGCGGCGCTACATGGCTTTCTTCATGCCGATGAGTCGGCTTGTTGGTTGGCGCGAGGGGGGGTGATGGTGAAGGCCAAGAATTGTCAGCAACGAAAAGAATCAATGTGATGGTATTGGTCGAAAGGACGGGGAGGATGATAAGGAGGATGGCGGTGCCGGCAACAAGGATGCTGTGGGATGTTGGGGGCGGTGAGCATGATGAGAGGCAAGAAGGGTGAGGAGGACGGGGCGTGCCGTCTGAGAACCCAGGCAGAATACGAAGGACCCTTTGCTGCAATGGGCCTTCTTGCATCGAGATGCCATGTTCGATGTCCCTCTTCGTCTGTAGCACGTCGCAGATTTCTGAGGGCCTTTCTCTGGGCCGAGAAGATCTTCCTGAAGTGCTTGGAGGAGGCCAGGCAGACCAGGCTATGGCTTACGCAAGCTTGAATGGGGACCCACGGGACACAGCAGGAAGTGCAGACGGACCCCGTGCAGCAGCGGCTTGGGTCGGCAAGATGTGTCAAGACTCCTGTTTCGCATCTTCAAGTCTGTCTTTTCTTTTGGCATTCTATGCTGGCTGTGTCTCGTGACTGCTGCAAGGCTGTTGCAGAAGGTGCCGTCAAGTGCCAAAGCTACACTAGGACAGCGAAGTGAACACATCACCCCATCCGCTTCATTCTGCAGTCCGGCTGTGCTGGGTTTGGTGCATACCAAGGTGCAGAGGCCTTCGTCGTTTTTGAGACACGCTCATCTCGTGACATCGCTCTTGCGGCACTGCCGGAAACTGTTCAATTCAGAGGCAGGGCTTACAGAGCATCAGTACGGGACGTGACGGAAGCTGCATGTTCTTTGAAGTGGCACTGTCGCCAGGCTCTTCTCTCAGATTTTCCGTCTCGGTCTCAGTGGTGGGACAGACGCCGAACACATGACAAACACACAGAATTTGACAAAACTCCGGCTGCAAGAACCGAGCAGCATGAACAAAAAGCACAAGACAGCGAGATGCAATAACAAAGCACGGGTTAAGTAGCAACTAAACGTAACCAAGAAGTGCAATGGCGAAGTATCTAGCTAGTTGAGAAGCGAAGTAGCTGCAGCCCTTCGACCTGGTGGGACACATGCTGAGGGGGGTGCGTATCTACATATAATATAAACATTCGAAGAGATTTACAAGCATACGTAGCAAGGTTTCCGCAGCCAGGGGTTCTGAAAATCGGTCCTTGCTGAAGGATCAAGGCTGCGGGTTCAGGGTTTGTACTGGGTTCACGGCTAAAATAGGCTCGCCGCCAGCGGGTTTAAGTTTTAAAGGCTCGGGGTTTTGTTGCCCAAACAGTGTAATGCCCAGCAAGAAATCGTGTTCTTTCCAGTCCCGGTGCGGGCGTGTCCTCCCACGCCGCCGAATTCATCGTAGGGTCCGGTGTTTCGCAGCTCGCGAACAGTTCGCTTGATGAATCGTGCTCCCGCCACGGCACTTGCGTAGCGTTGAGTGTTTTGGACCAAACAAGGTGTTCCCGGGTTTCAAGCATTCGAGGCGGCTGCTGAAGCCTTTTCAGGACCACAGTCCTGAGGGTCCCGGAATATCCCGCATTCCTGAGATTTTGGGCGACATTCGGAATCGCGCTCCCGCCGCGGCCGTGCGCATCGTTCACTCCTTTCAGGGTTTTGCCTTGGGTTTGGGTTTGTGGGCAAGCACTGATAGGGCCTAGGGCTTGCCGACCGTCTATCCGTTTAGGGTTTCGGTTTCGGGAAATAGTCATTCCTTCTGTTAAGGGTTTTGGGTTGTTGGGAAGTAGTCACTCCTTTTAGGGTTTCGGGTTTGCCGCCAGTCTACGCGTTTAGGGATTAGGGTTTCTTGAACTAGGGAAGTAGTAGTGTTTTGGGTTTCTGCGAGTCTGTCACTACTCCTACGTCGGGCAAGCAGTCACTACTGTTAGGGTTTAAGCGATTAAGGTTGGGGCGTTTAGGAAGTAGTCGCTTGTTTAGGTTTTCGGGTTTCAGCTGGCACTCACTTTTTGGGTTTGCCGCTCGGTCTTTTTAGGGTCTCCGGTTTCGTGCGAGCAGCCGCTCCTTTTTCGGGTGTCGGCTTTGCTGCCAGTTTACTTCTTTAGAACTTAGGGTTGTCCTTATTTTTAGGTTCCGAATTCTCCGCCAGTCTACCCATGTAGGGTTTAGGGTTTGTGTGCACTAGGGAAGTAGTCACTCCGTTAAGTGTCTTGGGTTTTTGCGAGCCCGTCACTCCTTTTGATTAGGTCAAGCAGGCAGTCACTGGTTGCAGGGTTTTAGGGTTTGCCACCAATCACCAGTCGACGTGATTAAGGTTTGGGGCTTTTGGAAGTAATCACTTGTGGCTTCGGTCTGGCACTCACTTTTTGGGTTTGCCGCCCGCTCCCTTTTAGGGTTTGGGTTTTCGGGCTTTTTTTAAATGGTTTGGGCTTTCGGCCAGCCGCCGCCCCTTTATTGGGTTTTGGCTTTGCTGCCAATGTATCTGTTTATGGTTTTGGGGTTTTTTTGGAAGATCATTTTAGGGTTTCGGGTCTGCCGCCAGTCTAACTCGTTTAGTGTTTTGGGTTTCTGCGAGCCCGTCACTCCGTTCAGGTCAGGCAAGCAGATCAAGCAGTACCTCCTTTTAGGGTTTAGGGTTTGCCAACAGTCTACACCATGAAGGTTGGAGTTTTCGGCAGTAGTCACTTGTTTTCGGGCTTAGCCTAGCACTCACTTTTTGGGTTTGCCGCTCGCTCTTTTTAGGGTTTGGGGTTTCGGGATAGCAGCCGCCGCCCCTTTATTGGGTTTTGGCTTTGCTGCCAATGTATCTGTTTATGGTTCTGGGGTTTTTTGGAAGATCATTTTAGGGTTTCGGGTCTGCCGCCAGTCTAGCTCCGTTTAGTGTTTTGGGTTTCTGCGAGCCCGTCACTCCGTTCAGGTCAGGCAAGCAGATCAAGCAGTACCTCCTTTTAGGGTTTAGGGTTTGCCAACAGTCTACACCATGAAGGTTGGGGTTTTTGGCAGTAGTCACTTGTTTTCGGGCTTAGCCTAGCACTCACTTTTTGGGTTTGCCGCTCGCTCTTTTTAGGGTTTGGGGTTTCGGGATAGCAGCCGCTGCTTTGTCGGGTTTCGGCTTTGCCTTTAGGGTTTCGGGTTTGCCGCCAGTCTACGCGTTTATGGGTTAGAGTTTTGGTTCTTGTGAACTAGGGGAAGATGTCACCCTTTTAAGTTTTAGGGTTGAGGGAAGTAGTCACTCCGTTTAGTGTCTTGAATCTTGGGTTGTTGCGAGTCCGCACCAGTCCACACGATTAAGATCTGGGTTTTGACTTGAGTCCAGTGGCAACAAGGCAGTAGTCACTTGTTTGGGTTTTCGGGTTTCGGCCTAGCACTCACTTGTTGGGTTGGCCTGCTATTTTTGGGGCTTGGTTTCGGGCTAGCAGCCGCCGCCCCTTTATTGGGTTTTGGCTTTGCTGCCAATGTATCTGTTTATGGTTTTGGGGTTTTTTGGAAGATCATTTTGGGGTTTCGGGTCTGCCGCCAGTCTAACTCCGTTTAGTGTTTTGGGTTTTTGCGAGCCCGTCACTCCGTTCAGGTCAGGCAAGCAGATCAAGCAGTACCTCATTTAGAGTTTAGGGTTTGCCAACAGTCTACACCATGAAGGTTGGGGTTTTTGGCAGTAGTCACTTGTTTTCGGGCTTAGCCTAGCACTCACTTTTTGGGTTTGCCGCTCGCTCTTTTTAGGGTTTGGGGTTTCGGGATAGCAGCCGCTGCTTTGTCGGGTTTTGGCTTCGCTGCCAATGTATCTGTTTAGGGTTTTGGGTTTTTGGCAAGATGTCACTCCCTTTCAGGTTTCTAGGGTGCGGAGCTTGTTGCAGATCGTCTTGGGGTTGTGGGCTTCATCCGCACACTAATTGGCAGGTTTGCCACCTGGTTGCAACCGACTCACCGTTCTTAGGGGTTGGGTTTTGGGCCAGCAGCCGCTCGGAGAAAAAAAACTGGTGGGTTTCGCTAGCTAGAGTGTGTAGACATAGGGACGTCCTGCGATGATACGTTTTGAGAGCTTTCATGCTCACCGTCATGCAGCTGGGCACGCGTAAACGAACACAACATGCCCCTTCTACTTCCGCGCCCCCCACAAAACCCAACAGGGGCGCGAAATCTTGGTCGCGGGGGCAAACGCATGGCTTCGGAGGTAGTGGTGGTAGCAGCCGCAGAGGTAGTGGCAGGGGCAGTGGTACTCAGTTTCAAGGTGTCCTTCCAATTCGAGCCGAGGCCGCTCGTCACGAACCGCGGGGCATCTACTGGCCACTTTGCAGCGCAAAGAAGGCAGAAGAGTGGCGAGTCTTCAGAGGAGAGGATGAGGCTGTGACGGGGCACCACGGGCTCTCGGAGTGAAGCCTTAGGCAAAACTACAGCCGATCTTCCGTGCGCGCCAAGTGCTGGAAGATCACGAAAGGCACCCTGCAGCTATCCGCAGCTGCAGCTTCGTCGGCTTGTGTTAAGCTAGGAGTGTGGCTCTCCGAGCAGGCCTTTTCTGCATTGCCGCTGGTTTGACCACGTGGGGATGCCCTGAGCTTGGTGCCTTCAGCCTTGCCGCATGGCGCATGGCGGCTTTGCTTCATGGGCTGAGGCATTTTCTACCTGCCATATGTTTGGTCTGTCCTCACCTTCAACTACGAGGCCGCACGCCAGAAGTATGCCCTTCCAGAGAAACACAGATACCTGTCCACCAGGGTGGACGACAGCCCGGGCTCATTTACAACCTCGGCTTTTCTGTGGCGTCGCACTTACCTCCTCTGTTTGTTTGCTCTAACAGCATGTAGTTACCATGCTTTGTGCATCCGTCCCCTGCTATCGGGCTGTCGGGGACATCTCTGAGATTGTCGTCGTGGGCAATGCTTCCATGTATGAGATCTGCGCAAGAGTTTCTGACAACGTCGGCTTCAAGTACAAAGAGACGCGGGAAGCTTGCTATATGTAGCTGGACTGCATAAGGTTCGCAGTTGGCAGGTTTGCAGGAGGAGGCCGGAAGATCTTGCTCGAAGATGAATGATTCATGCCTGAGGATCTTGTATTTGGTTTCCGTATCGCTCAACATAATTCTGGACCTCGTGACGCTCGGATGCAGTTTTGGTGCAGAGAGAGAGAGAGAGAGAGAGCGTGAGCAAAGCAAAGCGTGAGCAAAGCAAAGCAAAGCAAACAGAGAGAGTCTTTTTCGAGCTGTTTTCTCACGCCCTTCCCAAAAGCCCCTGCGGAGGGCCCCCGTGAGTGAAGTGAAGTGAATGAAGAGAGAGAGAGAGAGAGAGAGAGACCTTCATTCCCCTCATCGTCAACTCCGCCGAACTCTGCAATCGAAGCATTGCAGGGCGAATAATTTGGCATGTTTTTTCAGGTCCGCCTCCTATTTGAAAGTTTGCCCGCGTAGTTGCACAAAAACGGGGGAACGAAGATCCCAGCTATTGTTCGTTTCGGCTCTACGTATTCGCTGTCTGGAAATTATCAAAGAAATCACCCGTGGTTTTGTGCCATGTTTCTTTGAGAACGTACGCTCATCATGTGTCCGATATCGTATACTTCAGGGCCTTAGTCCATTTGATGAGCTACGTTCGTTTTTCACTCCCCTCGCACCGACAAGCGTTCGGGTGGGCTGGACGCCCGGGGGCTTTGACAGGCCCTCATGCCCAGGAGAGAGAGAGAGAGAGAGAGAGAGAGGTGAGGGGGGCTTGCCCCTCTTGCCCCT